TATTTTATTAACGACTGAAAATTTGAACAAGATACAGAGAGAGTGTGAGCTAACAGTAGGAATTTAATAACAAGTAAGAACATATGAATTATTTACAACATTGCCAGATATGTTACAATAAAATTAATTTCTAATTTTATAGCGAAGATTTTTGCTTTGTTTCAATATCAGTTTTTGTTTTACAGCAAGTTTTCAATCAGATGGAGTTTTAAAAATTGAACTAATTATTAACTGTTTTATTTTTTTAGCGGATCGTACCAAAAAATTAGGTAAAAAACCGGCTTAGTTTACTTCCGATACAATCTGGCTATCACCCAACCATAACAGGCAATGTTCTTAGTGTTAATTATAATAACAAATATTTTTTCACCCATAATTTTAAATTTAAAACATTTCTGTTGAATTCGGTTTGCTTGCAACTTCGCTAAAATTTTACAAAATATGAAATAGATAATAAAACATATTCTAAATTCGGGGTTCCAGGTGTCCACGTTCGGGTGGAGGATTAAGTTATTAAAAATTTGATGGCTCTAGATACCGTCATTTTTTCACAATGCGAGAAACATACATACATTCATGCAAATTCTTCATTATTTTAATTTCTTTAAATATAACACAGGACGAAAATATTTGGTGGCAACAATTTAAAGGTGATTCGCCGTTTAAAGTGGAACGCTACAAAATGCGGCTTTGAAACTAATAGCGCTTCTGTGTTACCGTCCCTTTGGGCTAAATAAAGAACGCGTGGAATAAAAGTAAAGGCGGCAGATGATTGTCGTAACATCGGGGAGTTGCTGTTATCCACAACAAGGCGTGATTTAAATTTGCGTACAATGTTGAATTTTCAGATGAAAAGTAAATTTCTCAAACTCAATCAAGCGTACTGTCACTAATCTTCCGTTTTATATTAAGGGACAGGAAGAAAGGGGGGTAGACGCATTGATCCAGATAGAGAATTTCATTTTTTAAATGACTTTAATTTACGGAATCAAAGGAACTTATTCTTCATATTTAACTACTCTAAAATATCGATAAATGATGAATAATATTTGTCTGGCAATCATAATACGATTTATTCATCTTTCTTATTGCTGTATTATTATTAACAATAATTCTAATTATTACTTTCCCCCCTTCTGCCTTGGGATTAATCGTAGTTTCGAGACAATCGAGGAGTCGTTCTCAATATGCAACGCTTAATTGGGAGTTCGCTGTATTTCGTATGACAAAAGTAGGTTTGAGAAAATTCAAAATTTCAAGTAAGTTTCCAGAAAACTGACACTATCGAAAATGATAAATTCCAGCCTTTCACGCAATCAAAGGGGGAAGATCAGCCACGCCAAGGAATAATTATTGCATTTAACGCAATCGAAGTAGGAAGATCAATAGTCAACATCTATATTCTTTCCTTTTTCTTAATTTACTGAACATCAAACATTTTGACAGAATTATACATATGCCGAGATTGCACAAACTGGCAAAGAAGGATGGGAAAAAACTTCGTTAACCTATTTCTACCGGCGAAATATCAACACATGAAGCTTTTCAATCTGAAATTTTAAAAAAAAAGGAAGAAAAAAGGCAGCTGAAAAAACATTCAGCATTATTGTTTTTAAAAGATGATGATATATGATAATTTATCACGCAATTCTCTGTTTATTCAAGCGCAAAAAAAAAATTCGGATACGTATATATAACGAAACAACAAACAAGATAAGATATCTAATTTTGTCCACTGACCTCAGTGCAAATGAGGATTTTTTTGTTAAAAATACATATACAAAAAAACAAATAAATGCAGAAGCGGTTGACTAAAACACGGCGATCAGACATGCAGAACACGTCTTCGATCATTGGCCGTCCCTAAAGAAAACACATCCACCCGTTGACTTCTTCATTTTCTGAGGAAATTTTCAGCTTTCGTGACCATGGGGCCCCCCTTACGAAGTTCAAAGAACTCGACAGGTTCACGGTGTATCGAGTTTGCTAACGTTGCGCAACGCGTTGCGCAATACTTGCCAAGCTCCAGTTTTTCGGGCGGAGATTGACAGGAATGAGTTCTCTTTTCCGTTTCAGCGAATGGGAATATTCCCATCCACTGACAGTTAACCCGAAACGCACCGCGGGCGTTGAAGAGAGACTTAATGTATAATATTTATATGAGCGTCGAGGAGATAATAAGACAATAAATCTTGAAAAGGAGATTCTGAATCTGCAACCTAAACAATGCTTTTCGGAGTGAAAAGTAGAAAATCTGTAGGAGGACAACGTAAATCACTCCCATTTTCAGGAGATTATACAACAAATTCTATCAACACAAGTGTTTATGCTAACTGGTCACGAATAGCAGAAGTTTGTGCACTTAAATTAGTAATTTAATTACTATAGTGCACTTAAATTTCCGCAATTACTTTTCAGGAGACTTTCTAAGACAATATTAGAGTTTCCCATATAAATGTATAGAATTAAATACGCGAATTTCCGATTTTCGCTCTCTCTCTCTCTCTCTCTCTATATATATATCTATATGTAATAATAAAATTCCATAGTCAAGAATACACTTAAAATTCTAACTGTATGTTCTTTTCATTTTTAACGGCGACGTTCTCTTATTTGAAAGTACGTGGAATTAAATCCACAGCCCAGTAGTCAAGTTGTTTTTCCCGCTTTTTCTGCACGTACAGTTATAGAATGTTCTGGAGATTTTAAAACGAACTGGAATGGCTGACGTCATTTCTTGGAAGCTCTGCCTTTCCAGAGGCTATAAAAGGACTCGCAAAGGAACGTCGGGGTCTTTTCTTTAATATAACGATGCAGTAAACGTCATACAAAAAGTTATTAGTAATTCTTTTTTATTTACTCCGGAAATATGATTTTCGTAACTGCTATTTCTCCTGACCAATAATAAATGGATCCTGTTTTTTAAACTTATCGTCTGATAATTTAAGCTATGACTACATCTATATTTCTTCACCAAGCTATTTATTCCGGACAAAAGCTGGTACATCACATATATATATATATGTAATAATAAAATTCCATAGTCAAGAATACACTTAAAATTCTAACTGTATGTTCTTTTCATTTTTTAATGGCGACGTTCTCTTATTTGAAAGTACGTGGAATTAAATCCACAGCCCCAGTTAGTCAAGTTGTTTTTCCCGCCTTTTTCTGCACGTACAGTTATAGAATGTTCTGGAAGATATTACAAGCGAACTGGAATGGCTGACGAGGCTGTCGTCATTTCTTGGGAAGCTCCTGCCTTTCCAGAGGCTATAAAAGGACTCGCAAAGGAACGTCGGGGTCTTTTCTTTAATGTAACGATGCAGTAAACTTCATACAAAAAGTTATTAGGAATTCTTTTTATTTACTCCGGAAATATGATTTTTGTAACTGCTATTTCTCCTGACCAATAATAAATGGATCCTGTTTTTTAAACTTATCGTCTGATAATTTAAGCTATGACTACATCTATATTTCTTCACCAATCTATTTATTCCGTACAAAAGCTGGTACATCACATATATATATATGTAATAATAAAATTCCATAGTCAAGAATACACTTAAAATTCTAACTGTATGGTCTTTTTATTTTTAATGGCAACGTTCTCTTATTTGAAAGTACGTGGAATTAAATCCACAGCCCCGTAGTCAAGTTGTTTTTCCCGCCTTTTCTACACGTGCAGTTATAGAATGTTCTGGAAATATTTAAAGCGAACTGGATTGGCTGACGAGGCTGAGGTCATTTCTTGGAAGCTCCGCCTTTCCAGAGGCTATAAAAAGACTCGCAAAAGGAATATCGGAGCTTTTCCTTTAATGTCATGATGCAGTAAACTTCATACAAAAAGTTATTAGTAATTCTTTTTATTTATTCCGGATATGTGATTTTTTTAACTGCTATTTCTCCTGAATAATAATAATAAATGGATCCTGTTTTTTAAACTTATTGTTTGATTATTTAATCTACGACTACTTTTATATATCGGGAGGAATATCGGAGACTTTTTCTTAAATGTCACGATGCAGTAAACTTCATACAAAAAGTTATTAGTAATTCTTTTTTATTTACTCCGGAGATCAGATTTTTGTAATTGCTATTTCTCTTGAATAATAATAAATGGATCCTGTTTTTAAATATTATTGTCTGATGATTTAAGCTACGACTACATTTATGATACATCATATATATATATATATATATTATAATTATTAGACTATTTTATACTACTTTTAATTAGAAATGCGAAAAAAATACTGCAAAGTAATCGTATTCCAGAATCAAAATTAAAACTTTGAGTTACAAAAAGTATTGCTGAATTTCTGAAATAAGAGATAAATATCATTTCCCGAAGTTACAAAAGTATCTGAATTTTTTAATACAGTGTTTATTTATTTATGTTCATTCATTAGCGTAACTGCTTCGTTTTGTATCCTCTAGCACAAAACCAGGCCGCCCAGCGAATTTTTCGTTTTCTGATTGGAATGAAATTGCTGTTGTAATTATGAGTAGCTAATGTACTTACACAGTAGCTAATGTACTAACACAGAATCAACACAATATATGTTTTTAGAATTAAAATCAGAAAATTCAATCCTCTTTTAATTAATAATCAAATGCAAATCTTCTTATAATTAAGAATCAGAAAATACAAATCCTCTTTTAATTAATAATCATAAAATGTAAATTCTCTTTTAATTAATAATCATAAAATGTAAATTTTCTTTTAGTTAATAATCATAAAATACAAATTCTTTTTCAAATAATAATCAGAAAACGGAAAGCTTCGTCACCAGTTTGATATAATACTAGATTAACTAAAAGAAGTGTGATTAAATTAATTTATTTAATCGGTTTCTCAGCTAAATTGAAATGTAGAGTAGAAACCATTTCTCCAGCTTAGTGAGGTTTTTCGGATAACACTGTTTGAATAAATTATTATTAAAATAATTTTCGTAAAAAAAAAAAAAGAAAAAAAATACACAAATTTTTATACCCACCACTTTTGAAATGAATGCCTTTTTGAATCTATTTCTCAAAGAGTAATCTTCAACATTTCCCTTTTAAAGTTTCACTGAAATAACATACGATCATACTTAAATAAATAAAATAAAATAAAATATATAAATGAATTAAATTTTACTCTTTATTACAATTACTTGTTTTAAAAAACCATTTAACAAATGCCACATAGACTAGACAAATGCCACATAGATAGATTGTTGGAAGACAATTAAGTAGTAGTAATGTTTCAAAGCATAAATATTTTCGAAATACTCATAAAAAAGCGAATTTAAAGCAATTCATAATATTCCGTAAATAACAGTAATTTTCCAGTGGCATGTTCTGAAATATAATGAATATATTCATTGTATTTCAGAAACAGTCTTGGTCTGAAATATAATGACTGTAAAAAGTGGTCAGGTGAAAAATATCCAAGCAAAATGGCAAAAACTCACTAGAGATAAAAAGCAAAAAAAAATTTTTTATCATTTACGAAATCGCTGATACTTTTTAATTTCGGTACTAAACTCACTTACAGGAAATTCCTTTGGTAACAAGCAAATTTTAATTAGCATAAAAATTTATAAATATTTAAAAAAGTGCTTATGCAGAAGTGAAATTAAAACAGCCCTTAATATCCCATATACAACCATACGTTTCCAGCTTCAGAGAATCTCTTTTAAAAAACGAGGGCGCAATTTTCCCTGACAATGCGCGGGCCTCATAATGCGGGCGCTGTCGTGGATCTCCTGCAGACATGGCAATGGGGAAGTGCTGGAACACGCATTATACTCACCCGATACGAGTCCGTTTGGGACTATGATCTTTTCGCCAAAATGAAAGAACCACTACGAGGGATTCATTCGAACAGCAGACAAGAGATCATCTGTGCTAGAGCGGTCGGTGCGGGTCATAACACAAGTGGAGATGCTGAGGATGCACTACGCCTTCCAGTAGCTTGGCAAAAGCCAGTAATGATGGTATCTATAGCTATGGTAATTAAGTCTATAGACGCATTGCTATTACTTTATATCCAATTAACAAAACAACGAACGTACTAGACAGTCAGTTAAAAAAAAATGCTTTCCTCACAGAATGGCATAAATTCTCTTGAATATAGTACAAAAATATTTTTATTGTTTACTGAAACTTTGATACTCAATTTATTCTTTGATTTCATTTAAGTCTGGATTAAACAGCGTTTTACAGAATGACAAGAAATATTATAACTTGAAAAAAATAAAATAAACACAAATAAAAACATTCACAGTCATGAAATGTCCACAAGAAAATTACCATATGATAAAAAACCTATATGCATGAATAAACTCTCGTAATATATTTTGCAGTGAAAAGTGAAGCCTGAAATGAAGTAAGTACCAGGAATATCGAAAATGAAAAGTTATTTTAAATCACAACTATTTGCAAAGAACAATATTTGATATTTATATAAACTATTCTAATGACTCACCACATACATCATAACCATGACGGATGGACGTAGGTTGATTCTTTTGGAGACTGTCGCTAGAATTAACGTCGCTGCTACAAAATTAAGTAAGGTGCCGAGGATTTTCCAAAGGTACGTCAGTCACTTTGTTATTGCTGTTATGCATGTATTGCAAATGGTGGCCATTCATCTAAACAATTCTCGTAAATGTTAAATATTATTTCTTATAAACATCCGTGATTTAAAAAAAAAACTTTCCGTTTTCATATTCTGCGTATGTACTGACCACGTTCACACATCACATTCTACCACATCTTGTATTACAAAACAATTTACTATCGCTCTTTTAAGTTGTGACCATTAAATTACGTTACAACTTGTTATACACTGGTTTCCAAAAACTCCAAGAAAAATCGCAAAAATAGAGAATTCATATAATAATAATAAGACGATTCGTATAAAATCTGAATATGTTGTCAAATGAGAGTTGTTGAGTAAAATTGAAATATGCAAATTAGTGGCGCTGCATTCGGAATGCGACATCTGCGAGGAGCATAAAACTGCATGTTTAAGAGGAAGCCTGTAAATTTCGCTGTGATACTGAGACTCATCCTCCTTTCCTGCAGCCACCAGAAAATTGGTGCCAACGTTAACCGTACGTAGAAGGCTTCAAGAAGGAAGTCTGTACGCGAGGTGACAAGCATATGTATGCCGCTAACGTTACGTCATAGAAAGGAACGTTTGAGGAGGGCACGTCAATATCTTACTGGACTGATCAATGGAAGATTGTTCTGTTTATGGATGAGTTCAAGTTTAGGCTCCAAACCAATAGTATGCGTTATATGATTGGGAGAGAACATGGAACCCGTTATCATCCATCAAGCATTCGTGAAAGAGATAGATACGGACGAGACAGGGTCTGGGGGGTATCGCTTTGGATGGACGCACAGACCCCGATGTCTTTCCGTGTGGAACCGTGAATGCTCAGGACACATTAAATCTTTGATGCTAATGTGTACACGTGATGATTTCCTGCTACAAGACGACAACGCTATATCGCACATGACTCGATGATTATCTTAGCAAAGGATTCAGCGCAGTGAGTGGCCAGCTCCATCACCGGACCTGAATCCCATCCAGCATGTTTGGGATGCTTTAAAAGAGAGGTACAGCTACTCTCAATCCTCCTCTTCAGGCCCTTGCCACGCTGGCAAGTGCTTTGCAAGAGCAATGCCTCTCACTTCCTACAGAATTGATAGACCGTATAATTGACAGCATCACACATTTGCTGTATGTGTTGTATTGCTTCTAGAGGAGATCAAACTTCATACTGAAGGTAATTTTCCTAAACGAAACTGACACATCCGATTTGTTCAATTTATACATACGCTAATTTCTACAACACCATAATTGTCTGATAATTTCTTTTCATGTAATTGTACACCTTACTATGTGTTGTATACTATCGTTCAGTTTCATTAAATTCTTCATGTAACCTTTTGAGTAATCGTCATTTTTGTGATTTTTCCTTAATTAATGATAATCAGTGTATATATATGCATGTAACAGAAAATCAATTTTTATAACTTAACTAAGAAAAATATTACTCTTTTTAGCTAAATTCCAAAACCCTTGAACAGAGAGGTCCTAAAAAAGAAAGGAAACTAACTAAGTAAAACTTTTTATGAGCAATCCGCTCTTATTCCATGTTTATAAATTACAAATTAAAAGGGTTTTCTAACACAGACTCTTAAAAAGTGCAGAAAAGTATTATAGTAGAGCACAGGATGTAAGAAACGAGAAATAATTTCTAAGGTAAGAATTCCAATTCAGTTTCTTCCGGGTATGGGTTCATATCTCCCGCAGAGTCTCCTCTCGTAATATTTATGGCACACTGTCACAGACATCAAAAACCCAACAACAGATTTTCGTACTATTCGCTTTAGGTGCTGTAACGTAATCTAAAATCGATTGGATTTAACGAAATAGAATGAATAACGAAATAGAAATAATGATCTAATGAAACAGAAACATAGAATTTAATATTTTAAGCTTAATTCAGTAGTTCTGATAAAGGCCCTCGAAATCATAAGCAGAAACTGAAATTCGCAAGCACAACACAACTCCAGACATCCGATCTAGTAACTGGAACTACAGCCCAGCAGGATATTTCAGAATTTCAGATAACTGGATATATTTCCTTCGGTATGCCAAATTAGCTTTCATTGCAACGCAAGTAATGGAATTTTTTATTGCAAGTGAACCATGTCAATGGAAAATTTACAATTAGACAAAATAGCAACCTTAATTATACTTTAAATAAAATTCTATTGATTTCGAGAACGATAAGCCATATGTACCTCCATAATATTTTTGAAAATGTGGTAGACGCAACAACCAATTTTAAATCGAAATAATTGAGAGGAACAAAGCGGAAACGAACACAACGCCATCTATTGAGGAATATCAGTTCTTTCTATTTTATCGACAGATGGCGCTACGTTCGTTTTAGCTTTCCTCTGTTTGGTGATTACAATATAAAAGATTATTACTCTTTTCCCCTTTGTAAAATACTTTTGCTTTTGAAGAAAAGGACTCTATATCTTATTTCTCTCAAATTTGGTAGAGTTTCTTTCAAAATATATGCCGGTCTAATTTTAGGTTTTGCTTGGTTTGGGTTTTATATGATTTGGTAAAGCCTCAAGGTCTATCCGCCTAAGGGGAGGGATGCCTTTGTGGAGAACTTTTTAAGGGAAACTGGCTCGTATACACATTACACACTTTTTTAAAATTTTAAATTAAGGGAAAATTACTTGTTCGCGTACAGCATTTTGTTTCAATAAATATTATGCAGCAAAAATTATTTTAAGCAGTCTAAAGCATCACTGCATTAAAAAAAATCAAAAAAAGATTTGATCAGAAAAAATTCAGTTTTTTTCATTAAAAATGTAAAATAATATAATAATTTAAAAACAACACATTTTTATTTTTCTACTCAGATTCCGGCTATGTTGTAACTGCTTATATTCTGTTACTTAAAATGGCCCTTCAGAGTCATTTTATTTCGCATGACTTGCCTCGTAACCATAGAAACGACAGCTTCAGTAGATGGTCGAGTCCCGTATTGATTTTGGTCACACTTTATTTCCGTGCCGACGAAGTTTCTTTTTTAAAGTAACATATACGAAATGTCTTGCAGGTTTATACGAAATGTCTTACAGGTTTATACGAAATGTCTTAAAGATTTATACGAAATGTCTTACAGGTTTATGAATACATCTCTAACAGTTCCAAACGCAAAACGAAAAAAAAAAACCACATATCCAAAACGAGTTGCTTAATATAGCAATGCCAAACGATACAGAATTTGGGTTACATTATTATTATTTCATGATAAAATAACGGCACATGGGGAATTTTGCAGGAAAAAAAAATAATAATAATTACTCAAAGCAGCGCACTTCTCAATGGATCATTAATGTACGGAGTTTGTAACAAATAATTCACGCAAGTAAAATGGAAATCATCATTATCTTTCAAGGAATGAATTTCTTTCTTACAGTGAAGCCAACTGCATTTTCTTCGAAGTGTTAACACAAATCAAATCCACACAAATAAGT